TACTATATAACCTACTATACAACCTACTATACAACCTACTATACAACCTACTATATAACCTACTATACAACCTACTATACAACCTACTATACAACTTACTATACAACTTACTATACAACTTACTATACAACTTACTACGTAACCTACTATATAACTTACTATACAACCTGTAATATCAACCTACAATATCAACCAACAATATATCAACCTACTATAAAATAGATTTGTCATTTACCACGCAAAACTTCTCATCTTCCTTGTCTTCTTTAGACATTAAATCTATTGCTTCAAATCAAAGTAATATTCTTATAACAAATACCAACCAATATAAAGAATTGCCTTATAACTAACCAACCTACCAACTACCTCTTAATAAAGACTCAGTCTATATATTTTAACATAGTCTATTTACTTATACTTTACTACCTATCAACTATAGTAAGAAAGACAAGTATTAGTATAGTGTACTACTTATTCTTATAAAAAGTCTAAGTCTATAAAAGGCTTTCAAGCTTCGAATTTTGCCTGGCACTATAAGCTAAAGCATCTTAATATTGCTTATAACAAAGAGAGCAAAAAGACTAGAAAAGTCAAGTCAACTATATCAAATACACTACCATAAGATTTCTTCAATACTAGAAAAAGCCTTACAACTTTAGAAAGTCAAAAACGCATACGACAAAATACAATTACCAAATTTGACGAAAATAAAGCTTATACAAAGGTTTTAAGCTTTATAATCGACAATAACCTTTCTTTCAATATTCTAAATTCAGAATCTTTTAAAGACTTGTTAAATTATTACAATAAGTCTACGCCTATAATCAACTGTTACAAAATTAAGACTATACTTAACAGTGCATATAATAATGCATTATCAACCTTTAACAACTAATTACAGCAAAATATCAAATCAAATAGCCAATTTTCAATAATCTTTGATATATAGACTTCAAAAGTTTCTTCAAATCAATACCTTGGAATTATACTTAGTTATATTGATTTAACATTTAACTTGAATTACAAGTTAATTAGCTTTGACAAATTATTTAAAGCCTATTTAGGCTTATATATATTTAACAAAGTCAATTCTATATTAAATCAATACTCAAGCCTACAAATCGACAATATATTTAGCATTATACAAGATAATGCAAGCAATAACAACACCTTTATTGATTCCTTTAAAAAGGCTTATAATAGCCTTTGAAATAAAGAATTTACTAATGATATTCACTATGCAGCACATATAATCAACCTTGTTGCAAGCAATATATTACGCAACTATTTACAAAGCTCTTCTACATCAACTACCACTACTTTTACTTTAAGAATTTGACAACTAGCAACAATACTTAAATATAACTTTGAACCAAAAAAGCTATTTACTAAAGGAATTGCTAAGTATAAAAATAAAGGTATTATACCTGCAAATTACAATACTATGCAAATTCCTTTAGATAATACTACACGTTAGAATTCAACATACTATATAATTAAAGCTACACTTAAGCTTAAAAAGCTATTGATATACGTCTTGAAAAACACTAAAAATGACAAATTTCAACAACATATACTAAGTCCTACTAAATAGACTATACTATACAAATTAAGCCTTATATTCGAAGTTTTTGTCAAGCCTACAATCAAATTACAAGGCCAAATTTACACTACTTTAAACCACACCTTACTACACATATATAAAATATACAACAAGCTTAACAACCTTATAAAAGGTTACAAAGCAAAAAGCCAAAGAAAACCAAACGACAACTATTATAATAGCTTTATATTAGCTATTAAGTCTAGCCTTGAAAAGCTAGATAAATACTTTCCACAACACCCTTTACCAAATATCTTTAAAAGATATAAGCCTTACTTTATAAGTATAGCTTTAGACTCTAGGCTTAAGCTTACACACTTTGAAGAAAATAGCTTACTGCACTTTTACCTTACTATTATACAAAACATAAAGACTTTGTTTAAATACAAATATAACAAAATAAAAGCTAAATTAAATCAACTAAATACAACTTTAACAAGTTAGCTTTCTCTCAACAAATTAAACAATAATATATACAATGCTACTTCAAAAGAAGACAACTCTTCAAATTCAGACAACTTTTACACTCAAGGCAATAAGAATAAAGATAAATATATTGCTTATTTTAACAAAAGCAATATACCTTCAAAAATGCACCCTTTAGACTACTAGAAGCATAATAGCTATAAGTATCTAGTACTTGCTATACTAGCTAGACAATACCTAGCTATTCTAGCAACCTCAGCTTCTATAGAAAGCACTTTTTCTATTGGAAGTAATATTATAACAAAGTCACAAAATCGGCTAAGTTTAGAAACTGCAAAACAGCTTATACTATTAAAAAGCTGGAATTTAAAAGATTTAAAAGAGCTTGAAAAAGCTAAGGAAAATGAAGAAAATGAAAATATCTAGGTTATATTTGTACTTAAGTTATTCTTGTATTTAAATTAGATTTGCATTTAAGTTATACTTGTATTTAAGTTAGATTTGTATTTAAGTTATATATAATTAGTATTGTTTACTTTATAGTACGTGACTAATTTAGTCAGTCACTTAGTTAGTCTTAGTCATTTCTAGTCAGTCTTAGTCACTATACTGACTAACTAGACTTAGTCTTAGTCACTATACTAACTGACTAAATTAGTCTTAGTCACAGTACTGACTGACTGACTAAGACTAATTACCAACCCTAGGAATTAGTAGACTTACCAAAAGGCTGTAATGTCCTAGGAGGGCGTTAGGTATACAAGTTAAAAACCAACGCAAATAATGAAGTTATAAAGTATAAAGCCTATTGGGTAGTACAAGGTTTTAACCAAATACTAGGTATTGACTACCTAGAGACCTTTAGTACTACCTATAGACTTAAATCTTACAGGCTAATCTTCCTACTAGCTATATACCTTAATTGGTCAATGCTACAATATAACGTTAAAAATGCCTTTGTGCATGCAGACGTTGATAAAGAAATATATGTAATATAGCCTATAGGCTTTGAAAAAGGAAGTAAAGTGTGCAAATTAAATAAAGCACTCTATGGGTTAAAACAGTTACCAAGGCTTTGGTATAAGCATTTAAAGGATGTATTACTAAAGCTAGGATTTATTACTTTACCTTATGACAAAGGTGTTTTTATCTATCCAAAATTTCAAATTATACTTTGCTGTTATGTAGATAACCTAATTGCTGCAGGTTTTACTAACAATTTAATATGCAAAGTAATGAATATTGCGTCTAAATATATAAAATTACAAGAAATTGGTAAACCTTTAATATTCTTAGGCATTGAAATGGAATTTATTAAAGGCTAATTAATTACGTTACACTAAACAAAATATACACACAACTTAATTGAAAGGTTTGAAAAATCGTATATATCAAAATATACTACACCTTTTGAAGCAGGTTTAAAGCTGGAAAAATCAAAATACTAGGCAAATGCAAAAGAAATCAAGGCTTTCTAACAACAAATTAGTGCCTTACTATACCTAGCCTTAAAAACCAGGCCAGATATAGCATTTGCAGTAAATCAATGCTTAAAATTTATGAGTAATCTGAATAAAATCCACTTAAAAGCCTTAGATAGGATATGGGGTTACTTGAATTTAAAACCTGACTTGGGACTGCACTATACAAACAAAGACCTACCTAAATTAATAGGGTATTCTGACGCGTCTTAGGCTGACGATTGAATTGAAAGATGCAGTAGTATTGAGTATATATATTACCTTGGATGAAATAATCCAATTAGTTGGTACTGTATAGTACAAAAAACAATTGCGTTAAGTATTTGCAAAGCTAAATATATGGCTTTAAACGACTTTAGAAAAGAGGCTGTATGCTTATACAACCTATTAAACTGTATGATTACTAGGTTATGTATTTAAAGTATTACGTTAAATATACCTATATTAATTACAGACTCTAAATTAGCTTAAGCATTTGCTGAAAATCCTGAGTTTTACAGAAGGACTAAGCATATTGACTTAATATTCCACTATATATGTCAATTAATAAATGAAAAAAGGATAATATTGACTTACTGTAAGTCAAAAGACAATAATGCAGACTTATTTACAAAGGGTGTTCTACGCGAACAATTTGAAAAATTCACACAAGTCATTGGACTTAAAGAAGTCAACTAAATAAAATATGCAATTATAAGGTATACACTATGCATATAAGCAAATAAAAGTCATAACTATAAAGATAACTTGCTAATAAGGCATACAATGGATTAAAATTATCTACAAACCTACTATATACCTTAAAGAGAAGTATAAAGATTACTTGATAAGTCTAACTTCAAACCTATATATTAAGGTAACTACAATAGTGATGACTAAGCTGTTTGCTAATTAAGCATTATAAGTGACGTATTTATAGGTCTACAAAGTAGCTAAGTTACGTGATAACTCCTTACCTTATAATTTGCATTTGAGTCAAAAAGACTTTCCTGTCAAAGACAACCCTAACCCTAAGGATAGGGTAGCCTAGCAAGTCCAGGGTAGCCTAGCAAGTCTAGGGTAGCCTGGCAAGTCTAGGGTAACCTTGCAAGTATAGGGTAGGTGCAGAAAATCAAACTACCTAAAACCTTCAAACCCTGCTAAACCACTTAATACGTATCACTACCTTGTAAGTGTGTGATCTACGTATTACTACTGATTCAAACAATTGGATCCTACAGACCCGGTCTGATTAGCCGATCTGAGGTATCAAGTTGTTTAATCTAGTAGATTAAGTAAAGCAAAAAGACTAAATTTCTACTATATAGTTAGCTAGAATAGCCGCTTGACTTTGGTGAAATAATAATCATCATCCACATAATACAACTAGTCTTCTGCACCTTACTTGCCTACCTTACTTCCTATCTTACTATTGCTTACAGCAGTACTTCTACTAGTTGAATACTTTGCTTTCACAACCTACCTCTTTGGTCACAACCTAACCTTTTGACTAATAGATTTTGAACAACCTAATAGAGTCGATTTATTTGGCAACATTGATAAGTCTATGCATGCACTAGCTAGCTACCTCTTACAACTAGCCACCTTATTTTTAGCCAACATGCTTTACATTACCACCCTACCACTTTATTTCAACGCGTATTGCTTTTATATTTTGATCTAGTATTTACCTACTTTGACTACTCCTAGGCTAATTCAAAGCCTTTAATTTGATTACCATAGCTAAATATACCGAAAATGACCTCTAAGCTGCTATTTCTGCCGTTTAAAATAGCTGCCCTATTTGCAAAGCTGCCTGCAATTACAAAATTCCACGCATTACTTTAAAAAACCAATTAAAAAAGGCTAAATCACGCAAAAATGCCAATTCTTACAAGATAAGGCTTTCTATCGATCAAGAAGCTAAGCTAGCCAAATAGGCTCTAATCTAGGGTCAATTAGGCTTTCCACTTAGCCATGCCTAGATCTAAGATTTTGCAAGCTAGATCCTCTATGCAGGAGGAGACTTATAGCTACTTGGAAAGCACTAGATGCAACACTTTTTGCAACAAAATCTAAAAGTCAAGACGCTTCCAAGTAAGCAGATAGATTCTAAGCATGCAAATGCTGCATTTGCTAAGGAAATACAGGCTTGGTTTAACCACATTAAAGCTATTCTAGAGATCCAAGGTATTCTTAGAGAAGATACATAGAATATAGATAAGTCTAGGATTATGGAAGGTCTAGAGATTAATGGCTTGGTTGTTAGGTTTTCAAGCTTCAAGAGAATTCTCTTAAAAACTCTAATTAAGCGTATTTAGACTTTATTTATTAAGTATATCAGCGCAAATGAAAGCTTTCTATATCTTTTGGTTATCTTCTCTGGAAAGACAGTTTAAGCGCAATAGATTTCTAACAATATAGACCTATTTGATAGCTAGAAGTTTATTAGTATAAAAAATGGTTAGACTTTTAACTAGATTGCATTAGACTAGCTTAAAGATATCTTTATTCTAAGATCCTAACAACCAGTCTCTTGCATAAGGCTTTTGATTGTTGATAGCTATAAAAGTCATGTCAAAGATAATTTCATATAGAGTTGCTTCTAGAATACCATATATTTGGTTTTCTTACTACCTTACTACTCTTATCTTCTTTAGCTACTTAATCTTTCCATCTTCTCTCTCTTAAAGCAAGCATATTGCAAAAAGCTTTATAATCTAGCTATCTAGTCAAACTCAATGCTAATTAGAAAGCAAAACGTCCTTATCTGCCTTAAAAAGGCCTAGAAACTTGCTCTTACACTAAAGAATATTCAGTCTAGGTAGAAAGCTACTAGCTTATAGCTACAAAACCTACAAAAGCTACTCTAAAGCTAGCTATTACTTCTCAAAAAGCAAGAGAAGTCCTAGGCTTTAGCTATAGCATCCTAAGATACTTAAATGCTTCCAGCTACTTAGCCAATCTAGTCAATCAACTCTTAGGTTAGTATTGCAACTCTATATTGTAGGCAAAAGATTCAGCAATATAGACAAAGATTTCCAACCAAGGCTAAGACACATTTAAAGGACAGGCTTTTGCTTAGAAAGGCTAGGAAAAGTCTTAATGACAAGAACTTCTAGATTGCCAGCTAGCAGCGTGAAATTAAGGCTTTACAGGCTATAATTAAACATTTACAGCCATAGAAAAAAAAGAAGGTTAAGATAGATCTAAATAACCGCTTTATTAAAATCAAAGCAATCATAAAAGCTAAGATCCAAGTCTAGACGTTAGGTATAGTCACTAAGGATACTAAGGATTATGTATTTAAAGAGATGTGCTTTCAATTCTAGATGGATATATGTAAATAGCTTCATTTTTAGGTAGTCTAGGTAGGTATAGGTTAGCTAAATCTAGATCTAGAAGGTGGTTGGTTATAAGGGGTGGTTGGTTAGTACATGCATAGTCTTATGGAACAACTGCTTTCTAAATATTTAGAAAAGCAAATATACGTATGTATTACTAATAATATACCCCCTCAACTTCAGTCAATATTGACTGACAATAAGCTAGCCAATCTAAGCGACTAGATTAAAAAGATTAAAGCTTGTAATACCAAGCAAGTCTAGGTATTAACAACCAAGTCAAATTCTATATACAAAGCTAACTTTGTAATAGACACTGCTGCAGAAGCTTACGTTATAAGTGATAAATTACTATTTTAGACAATGCAAGAGTGTAAGACTATAGTTAGTTAAGGCAGGGCAAAAACCCTAGAAATTACAAGGTATGGAAATGTATATATAGCCTGGCAAGTCTAGGGTAGCCTTGCAAGTACAAGGTAGGTGCAGAAGACTAGTTGTATTGTGTGGTTGATGATTTTACCAAAGTTAGCCGGCTAATCTAACTGACTATATAGTAAACATTTAGTCTTCTTGCTTTACTTAATCTACTAGATCAAACAACTTGATACCTTGGATTGGCTAATTAGACTAGGTCTGTAGGATCTGATTGTTTGAATCAGTAGTAATACATAGATTACACACTTACAAGGTGGTGATACGTATCAAGTGGTTTTGCAGGGTTTGAAAGTTTTAGATAGTTTGATTTTCTGCACTTACTCTGTACTTGCAAGGTTACCCTAGACTTGCAAGGCTACCCTGGACTTGCAGGGCTACCCTAGACTTGCAGGGCTACCCTGTCCTTAGGGTTAGGGTTGCCTTTGGCAGGAAAGTCCTTTAGGCTTCAAATGCCAATTATAAGGTAAGGATAAATCACGTGACTTAGCTACTTTGTAGGCTTATAAATAAGTCATATGTGATGCTTAATCAGCAAACCGCTTAGTTATCACTATTGTGGTTGCCTTAATATATAAGTTTGAAGTTAGATTATCAAGTAATCTTTATACAATACAACTAGTCTTTTACACCTTACTTGCCTACCGTACTTTTTGCCTTTCTACTGCGTAAAGCAGTATTTTCACTAGTTGAATACTTTACTTCCACAACCTACCTCTTTGGTCACAACCTAACCTTTTGAGAATCGACTGAGTCACAATAAACTAAAAGATTCAGCAGTTTCGGCACCACGTGCCGAAACCTTCGTGCTCCGCGCCTTATAAGTCCTGCTGCAATAGTGCTCCACTTACACTATGGTATCTCAGGATTCTTACAAACCTTTATGCTAAGGTCTGATTATTTCTGTCTTTATCTCACGTGTAGATGTGCTCTGTGTACAAATACAACAAGGTTCTAAAGGGGTGGAGGGTGGTAGTCTGATCTGAAGTGCCTGAACTGATGTCGGGGTTTCCCATGGGTTGTTCCAGGAGGGCTTTCGGGAAGTCAACGGAAACGCGGGTCTCCCATTCCCTTGTTCCTTCCCCCCACCTGACTCGCAATCTTGTCTGTTAGGCGTTTTAGTCTGAGGACTGTGCCAAGCCACGACATTGGTTGACTGGCGGAAAAGTAGACAGGCTTAGGGACTACTTTAGCGTCAACTTCCCTAACAGCAACGAAGGCCCCGGCAGGGAGGCAGGGCTGGCTTCTCGGCGGCGGACGACACCTTCACGGTGCCCCTGATGGACGCGGACTTTCAGCTCCTCGCGAGCGACCCGCTAAAGGCAAAGTCAACGGTCGTGAACAAGGTCGAGCTGGGCGAGGGCAGCCGGCGTATCCATGCGGCTAAGGGCCAAGAGTGGGTGAGTCGCAGCATTCTCGACATCGTAGGGTAGTTCTCGCACCCGCTTGAGGCACGCTGAGCCGGCTGTCTGCTGCACGCCAGGTTCACCCTAGGCTTCGACCAGCTAGTGGCGCTGCTAAGCAAGACGGGCCTTGTCAGGGACGTCATTGCCTCTCCCAAGTCGATGAACGACGAGGACCTCATAGCAAGAGTCTGATCGTATTACAGGCAAGCAATTGCCCGTGTCGGTCGCAGTCATGGTAAGGGAGATGTTGGCACCATCGTTGACGACAAAGCTTCGGGGGGTGGTCATGATCTCGGATCGTGGATGTGCCTGAGTTAATTATGGTATACAGGGGCGACGCATTTCGAGACTCGTTGTTTTGGTTTTTGGCTATCCCTGTCTGTGCTGCCACTATGATCAACCAAGTCTCTCTTCTTTTGAAACAGTTGTTTATCTCGAGGCTTTTGAGTAGGCATTTGACAGATCGACTTTGCTGTGCAGGTGCTGGTTTGGTCAAGACGTGTTGATGTAGATTGTGTTGGATCGTCTGGCGTTTGTGGAAGGATGGGACGACTGCACGCTTTGTAGCTAGCAGTGGCACCATGGAGGGAGAAAGAAACGGAGAGAGCTTGCCGGCTCTTTTACTTGTAGATGGGGAGGAATGTGTGTTATTTGAACCACTGCCTCCGCGAGCGTGGAATGGAAGCACAAGCGACAGTCACCGTTGCCCTGTCCTCCATCAAACGGAGAGCTAGAAGTTTCTGCCTAAGTACCTGGAAAATGGAGTTCCTCCGTTGCAGGAATAATATCCTGTACTCATTGATGCAGGTAAGTAATGCCCCACCAGTTTAGTAGCCGTTGGTGGGAGAAGGTTTCACAAAAGAAAAAGAGTCAGCAGCTTTCATTCACTTCGTCATCCTTCCACCCAAGTAATTTCTGCTAACGTATGTCTCAAGTTGCTGGGAGGGCACATTCTGTCAATAACTCACCGATCTGGAATCCCTTTCTCTTACCCTTCTTTGCGCTTCTCTTCAAATGGTTCATGTTCCCAGTGACCTAGACCTGTTCTATAGAATGTGTTCGGCTGTCGTGCAGCTTTCGTTCCAGTCATGTTTACTCTCCCTGCATTGCATGTCCTGAGTTAAACTCCCGCGTAGGCCGTGGCCTGTGTACTGTGTAGTGAACTGTCTCAACTTGCCAATTGCACACCACCAAATGCATTGGCCACAGTAACAAGGTATAGGCCGCCCAATTTAACGATCATTCTCCCTAGCAGCTCTGCAACCCCCAAGTAACCAACCTACCCACCAAGTTCTCCCAAATCAACCCAGCTGCCCACAGACAATCTTTTGCCTCGACATAGCCGCCTCCCTATTAGCCCCCTCATGGACCGCGACATCAACCTAGCCAACGGTAAGATGGGTCCCAGAGATGTCCTCCCCGAGTCACTGGAGCTCACCCATCTTCTCTCGCCCGTGTACTTCGACAGGTTTCGGTTCTTCGATATAATACGGAAGATACTGTGCTGGGACACGGCAGTGGGTTAGAATGGTGGCAAAACATCGGGTTTCGAGGCTGCATGTCGCGCCCAATGGGGCAGACAAGGCCAACGAGGAGTGCTGCGGGAGGGTCATGCCTGACTCTCCAGAGGGCTCTTCCGGCTAGTGAGCTGGTATAGGACAGTCACTAACCTGATAGTGTTGTATCATTAGCGCGGCCGAGGAATCCACAACCAGCTCAGCCCAATCGAGTACCTTGGCGGAATGGAAGATCCCAACGCTATCCATCTGCAAGACTTCTCTGTAAACTTGAGAGCTTGACCTAGGAAATACAACAACGTCAGCTGCCTTCCTCTTCCACCGATTTTACAACCTAGTGTTGGGCCTGCGGTAGAAACAAGTGAGCAGGACCTGGAGATGCTGGTCAATATCGTGGAACCCTTCCAAATGCTGCGTCGGTATCGCGGAGGATAACATCCGCCATGCCAGGAGGCGCTTCCACGTGGAAGCTTAGTCTGGAAGAGGTGATGAGGTACCGGCGTGGAGAACAGAGGTAGAGAGGTGTGGGAAGGCTGTGGACGAGTAGGAGGCTGCTTGGGGTAGGTAGGTGGTTGGTCTTGCTTTGGGATAGAGGGGATGGAAGCTGATGGGATTTGAGCTGATACTAGAGTAGGAGTTAAAGGAAATAAATACATTGCGATACCTTGATGAGAGAGGCGCAAGTAGGGTGTGGTTGCTATGTCGTACCTTACCTTCCCAGGTATCTATCTCCACAGAAAGTTCTATCTGTCAAGGTATGTCTCTATCCACTCGCAAGGGCCATATCTCCTCCCTGTTGTGACCTGCATCTCTACTGGGAGGAGAGTGCGCGACCAGGGGGTGGCTGACCGGTTGAATTGGACCAGACTCGACCGGATAATGCCGTCGCAGCGGGAGTTGATCGGGAATAACCTCGGGGCAGTGCCAGCATTGATCCATCCTGGAGCCGAACCTTCAGCCCGAGGGTGAGTCAGTAGGTTACCACCTGAGACCCGAAAAGCGGCGTCGGCGATCATTTAACGATGTATTCAACTGCATGCAAGGGGGTGTACGGAATCTGGGGCCTTTGGGAGGGCGGCAGCCTCGGGGGGGAGGGCATGGGTTGATTTGGAAGGGATGAATGAATGAGGTGGCGGGGAACTTCTGGGTCATGTCTGGACCTAAATGCGTTATCTAGGAGCAGCGGCCATTCCTCAAGTGGTCAAAAGATCCCGGACACTCATCCCCCAGCCGCTCGGGGTCCTATTGGAGGTTCTGCAGTCGATCTCGTCGAGCATCGCGAGAAGCCGCCTTCGCCGAGAACGAGCGGTAATGACCTGATTTGAATGCCACATTACCGGATTTGCTTGGGAGCGAATCTCGCTGAGAGGGTACCGATATTCCGAGCTGTCGCTAGCAAGGTTAAGGCCCTGCGCCTCAAGCTCGCCGACGTCCAGCAAGGGGTACGAGCTCGGGCTGAAGCTCCACCGCGAGAAGGCCTTCCTGACCACGTCCATCGCCGCCTATGCCTTCCGTAGCACAATACCTCGCGGGTCATGCGCCGAAAATATTGGCAGGGAGATGATATTTGCATCCTATGACCCTCAAGGCAGCCTTCCCGTGCTTCGTCACTCTAACTGCGTGGCCTTGCTGATGATGGCCCTGCCTTTTCTTTTTACCATCAAGCTACAATATCCCTTGACTCTTGACAATGTCTAGCTCAAGGGCGAGGATTCGGTAAATTAGCTCATTGCCTATCTCATTAGCTCATTAGCTCATTACCTAGCTGATTTGCTCCTAGTTCATTTGCTCATGGTTCATTTGCTCATAGCTCATGTTCATGGTTTAGTTGCTCATGGTTTAAGCTCGTGGCTCATTTGCTCATATCTTTAAGAATGCACTATGAATTTTATGTAAGTCGACATCTCAACTCCTATACAGGATGCTATCCGTTAGGTGAGCCAACCGTCAGTTTCCATTCCCTAGGCATCGATACGCATGGCCCAAACAGTTCTCAACGTTCTGGTCGAGCCAAACCCGTGGCTTAACTCCAGTTCTGTGGTCAAAGGCCTGAATACTACCTGCTAGGAATGGATACCAGTCACGCATTCCATGGCTTTTCAATTTAGGATCCCTGTCTCTTTTCTCCGGCGGCCAGGGCTTCGAGGTGGTCACTAGCTAGTTCATCGGTGTCGTATCGATGGTCTCGCATATCATTAGGTGGTTGCGGGGCAGAAGAGAGCCAGGAGGATGAGCTGTGCCCTGACGAAAGTGAGGAGGATGGATGTGGAAAAGGCATTTCCATCCCAGATTTGTAGTGATCGGGCCATAGAGAATGGATGAGAAGTTGGAAATCCCGCCAAGCAGGCCTGTATTCCCGACGTGTAGACACCACGCTGATGAACAAAGTACAAGTCTCCGAGGGCGAACGCTGTCGAGACGATAAGTAAGGACGCTTGTTCCGCGAGCAGGCTGAGACGATGGGGCCTGAAGCACCAGCAATGAGGAGCTAGTAGCCTGATATCAAGGTGATACAGCCGATATGGACATTCATTGTCGAATCGATCAGCCACAGTTAAACTTCTGACAATAGCCCTACGAATTTCTAGGCTAAATCAACCTAATATCCCTCTCTATGGCCAGTTCGAACCCCCTTGCAGCCTCCCGCCCGAAAAGTCTACCAACCCCGACCCTCTCAAATCCATCCATTACCTTGTCGCTCCGTCGCAAGAACAGCACCAGAAATGCTTGGTGGATTGGCAGCACAAACCCCAAACCGAATGCTCCAGCACTGACACGCTTAGTTGAAACAAGCAGCGCGAGAATTACGGGACCGGGGCTGAAAGCGGCGTCGTCCTGGAACTCCGGATGCTCCAACGAGGCCCAGCCAGCAATAATATTCCGCTCCCCCGGCACCACCACCGCTTGCTGCTTCTCGGCGCCTATGCTCCTCGCGGGATGGCCGGTCACATCTGTAGCCAAGTAAAAGCTGGCCTCATCCTGAAAGTAGCTTCCGATTAAAACGGGTTGCAGCCGTCCCAAGGCATGCAAGACAAAATTTCCTTCCACGTGTCTTCTGTCAGACGATGTGCTCTCTATCGAGTTTGGCAGTTGAATTGTTGTGGCGTCTGCCTCTGCAGCAGCAGATGCCTGACCTGGCAGAGAGAGGAGGTGAAAAGGTTGGTCGGAGATTTTCGCTGTTCCAGTGAAAACGCAGTTGATGATCCTTAAGTCCCTCGCTTAGAACGGCATGTCTGTTTCTTCGGATTCGAAGGGGTCGATCAGCATTTGTCGCTCCCGGCAAGGCCAGATTACAGGCGTATCAATAGACGCCCAAGTCCATGTGGGGAAATTATCGAATCGGCGGGGAGTTCCAGGGTATGATTTCTCCCAAAGTAGGCCTTGGTGGAGGTCACGCCTCCAAAGTCCAGCGACGCAGTCATCCTTTATGTGCAAAGCCTTTTGAAACTCTGTGGCTACCCCGCCAAGAGCTATAATCCGATCTTCCTGGGGCCGCGAAAGCTTGAGCTTGCAGTACTGCTCGACGATATCTTCCCAGGCAGAATAGACTCCCTCAGTGTTGTAGAACTCCAAGCCCATCGATGCTTTGAAAGATAGCTCTATGTTTGATCGCTTTGTCAAATCACGTTCTACCGCTTCACCATGTTGGTTTATCGGGCTTTCGTCGGGGCATCGGCATTGGAGATATACGCCAGATGGGGTGAAGCAGACAATCCGCCGGCTGAGGATCCATTCTTGGAAGACCCATCCGCGCGACAATACCTCGGCGTTACTTGTATGTCTCCTGTAGTCCTTGTCCAGAAAGGACGCAGAGTTTTGGGGGTATACATAGAAATGACCGTTCTGCCCTCCCTGCCTGTTGTGATACGGGAGCCTGGCCATTGGCAGCGATTCCAGTAGCAGGTGTTGTTGCGATATTTTTAGGCCGTCGATCTGGGGAATGTTGATTGCGCTCACAGTGAATTCGGCGTTCTGGTAGTAGTCACTCATCTTCAACGACTCTTCCTTCCAATCGTCAGCCACGTCCTGGATAATGCAGAGGCTGTCGATCCACGCATATTTGATGCCGAGAAGGGCCGCAAGCTCAAATAGATCTTGGAAAAGCTTTGATAGTCCCCCAAAACCAGTGCCCGAGAGTCGTTCCTGGTAGCTTGCTGTAGTTGTTGCCGTCTTGAGCGTTTCAGTGTGCATCCAGCGGTGGCTGAGACATATGTAGGGCCCAAGCTTTCCATTGGTCTCCTCGAGGTTAATCTGAAGCGCAATGGAGCCCGACTGGGGTGCGTCTGGATACAACGCTTGGGTAGAGGGCTACTGGATGAGTCAATCTTCTTGTGACCCGACAAATCTCGAGAGCAACGGTCATGGTTCATAGTGCCTGCAGACCAGGTCCTGATCAACTCCGCGCAGTCGTTGAGCGAGGTGCAGTCGAAATAGCGGTGGGGGACATCTCCACTATCCGCCGCTGGAGTGTCTGTTGAGGCAGATCAGCCCAAAGCCTAAGCCTGAGATTCCAGACAGCAGCATAAGTCCATTACTAAAATACTCACCTGAGTCGGCAGCGACGTGAAAAGTGCAACTTTTGAGTTCATAACTCTGAAGCGTCATATCTGGCGTGGGGCTTGAAGACAGTGACGCGTACATCCGTCGAGCCTGTAGAGGGTTGGTGATATCACCTCCTTGAGTTCTGTATTCGAGGTGTACCCATAATTCGGTTTCATCTCCGGCTGGTAGTTGAATTCCGTTCCCAAGACAGGAAACAATCAATCCGCAAAATGAGCAGCCATCTTGGGCTGCAGTTTGGATAGGTTTGAACGGAAATGTGATGCAGTGATAAGGGATAAGGGAGAAGCTAGAGATGTCAAATTGTTGGCATGTGGGACAGAGATCCATCTTCGTTAGCACAGGCTTCAGTGGTTCTTTTTTTTTTTTGTCACAAAGAAAAAGTGAAGGAAAAGGAAAACTCAGGGAAGGCAGTTACATAAGACTATGCATGTACTAACCGACCACCCCCTATAACCAACCACCTTCCAGATCTGGATTTAGCTAACCTATACCTACCTAGACTACCCAAAAATGAAGCTATTTACATATATCTACCTAGAATTGAAAGCACATCTCTTCAAATACGTAATCTTTAGTATCCTTAGTAACTATACCTAACGTCTAGACTTGGCCTTTATGATTGCTTCGATTCTAATAAAGCAGTTATTTGGATCTATCTTAACCTTCTTCTTTTTCTATGGCTGTAAATGTTTAATTATAGCCTGTAAAGCCTTAATTTCACACTGCTAGCTAGCAATCTAGAAGTTCTTGTCATCAAGACTTTTCCTAGCCTTTCTAAGCAAAAGCCTATCCTCTAAATGTGTCCTAGCCTTGGTTGGAAACCTTTGTCTATATTGCTAAATCTTTTGCCTACAATGTAAAGTTGCAATACTAATCTAGGAGTTGATTGACTAGATTAGCTAAGTAGCTAGAAGCATCTAAGTATCTTAAGATGCTATAGCTAAAGCCTAGGACTTCTCTTGCTTTTTGGAAAGTAATAGCTAGCTTTAGAGTAGCTTTTGTAGGTTTTGTAGCTACAAGCCAGTAGCTTTCTACTTAGACTGAATATTCCTTAGTGTAAAAGCAAGTTTCTAGGCCTTTTCAAGGCAGATAAAGATGTTTTGCTTTCCAATTAGCATTGAGTCTAACTAGATGGCTAGATTATAAAGCTTTTTGCAATATGCTTGCTTTAAGGGAGAGAAGATAGAAAGATTAAGTAGCTAAAAAAGATAAGAGCAGTAAGGTAGTAAGAAAACCAAATATATAGTATTCTAAAAGCAACTCTACATAAAATCATCTGTAACATAACTTCCATAGCCATCAACAATCAAAAGCCTTGCGCAAGAGACTAGTAGTTAGAATCCTAGAATAAAGATATCTTCAAGCTAGTCTAACGCAATCTAGTTGAAAGTCTAACCATTTTTCATACTAATAAACTTCTAGCCATCAAATAGGTCTATATTGTCAGGAATCTATTGCGCTTAAACTGTCTTTCTAGAAAAGATAACCAAAGGATGTAAAAAGCTTCTATTTGCACTGATACACTCAATAAATAAAGTCTAAATACACTCAATTAGAGTTTTCAAGAGGATTCTCTTAAGGCTTAAGAACCCAACAACCAAGCCATTAATCCCTAGACCTTCTATAATCCTAGACTTATCCATATTCCATATATCTTCTTCAAGAATACCTTGGATCTCTAGAATAGCCTTAATTTGGTCAAACCAAGCCTGTATTTCCTTAGCAGATGCAGCATTTGCATGCTTAGAATCCATCTGCTTACTTAGAAGCGTCTTGACTTCTAGATTTCGTTGCAAAAAGTGTTGCATCTAGTGCTTTCCAAGTAGCTATAAGTCTCCTCCTACGTGGAAGATCCAGCCTGCAAAATCCCAGATCTAGGCATAGCTAAGTAGAAAGCCTAATTAACCCTAGATCAGAGCCCATTTGGCTAGCTTAGCTTCCTAATCGATAGAAAGCCTCATCTTGTAAGAATTGGCATCTTTGCGTGATTCAGCCCCTTTTAATCGGTCCCCCAAAGTAGTGCGTAGAATTCCGTAATCGCAGGCAGCTTTGCAAATAGGGCAGCCATTTTAAACGGCAGAAATAGCAGCTTGGAGGTCATTTTCGGTATATTTGGCCATGGTAATCGAATTAAAGGCTTTGAATTAGCCTAGGAGTAGTCAAAGTAGGTAAATACTAGATCAAAATATAGAAGCAATACGCGTTGGAATGAAGTGGTAGGGTGGTGGTGTAAGGCGCGTTGGCCAAAAATGGGGTGGCCGGTTGTAGGGGGTGGCCGGCTAGTGGGTGCACGGACTTAGGTAGGCTGTGGTTTTGGGGGCGGAGTTCCACCTATCCCTGTCCGTGGCGTTTCAAATTTTCAAGTTAACTGGATGAACAGGCGCAATTGGTCAGAGCACTCTAGGCAGCCACCGCTGGTTGACCGAAAGGAAAAATTTTTCACCTCGTGATTCCAGCTATATTAAGTAGCAATCCCGTTTCTTCAAGCTGGAGCGAAACCGACTTCTGCTGTCTTCCATCAGGCTCGTTAGTGCCATCATGCCAGACACCACCGAATCAGAGTTCACAAGCCGATATTCATCATCTTTATCAGCCACCAGACCTGGTTTCTTGGCCAAGCTAGTCATCCGCACCATCTAGCTGTTCTGCCTTGTGGCCAAGCTTCTCAATTTATTAATACCATATGGCCGTCCTGTTGCTGAGGGCAACAGTGCCATGCTAGCAGCCCTTCAAACGTTCGACAGCCTGAAAGCGAAGACTATTGGACTGCAGCGTTCTCTTATTCTACTTTGTATTGCCAAATGTATTTCACACTGGTGGATGACACGCAAAGGAAATCCGATTTGGAATCAAGGGTACATCAGCAAGCTCAAGATTGTCTCCGTTGGGGGAACAGGTGTATTGCAATTGGGTGCTGCGATCGCCTTCTTTACGACTATTGAAGGGCTTGTCAACAACTGCTACCAGCAACCAGTCATCTCCAATTACCTGGCCAACCTAAGCAACCAACCCAAACCAAAAAATGGGAGGGTGGATCCCCTGGTAATGTTTATGGATGGCAACGACAACAGAGCCCGACTGTTGTTGATGAGTTCGATCGGATGCGCTATCGTGAAAGTTGGCCCCTTGCTCTTTCAAAGGGTTATCGCTTCCAAATGGAGATACTCCAGCCCAGCCAAAACACCGACAGTCTTGCCTATTAGTAACGTAGATAGGCTCGACGACACAGAAAACCGCCTACACTCTGGACCACTTGCCGAAGAATACGACAGGTGGCAAGAGAGAAGCTCCCGTCGAGTCGCACAGCGGACTGCCAACAGCCAGATCATTGTCGTCACGGCCTCTTATCCTCCAAGGATCGAACCAGAGGGGTCCATTATTCCGTCACCTGCTACTCTGGGAACGCAAGAGCAGCTCCGGTTTCACGAAAGCCTACTCTCTTGGACACAGGTTGACCACAAATCAATTCGGATCCTGTTTGTCAGCTTCGGCATATTGCAAACTACGCTCGCCATTCTGCAAATTATTCGACTCATTATACTTGCTCAACCAGGGGCCAGAGGGTTAAACTCATGTGGAGGGTAAGGTTAATCCAGTTTCACGATCGTTGCTGCGGAAACTCACTACATGTACCAGACCATACTGACCAAAATTTTGCAGAGTCCACTGCACCCTAAGTTTTCTGGGCCTTGTACCTTGGATACCGCTTCTCTTTGTCATATACTCCTTCATTCCGCGTCGAGTTCCTCTGGAGCAACAGGTTGTTGGGAAAGTCAATGTTTTCCATCTCTTAGTCTTGGGTCTCGTCATTGGTTACATCTTTACCATTATCACAACACATTCACTTATACACAGGCAATCCCGGCTTGCCAGACCCTATTTATTTCTGGCCAATTTCCACCGTCACCATTCTTGTTCTCGCGCTAATCAGCCTGATTTATCTTCCTCCTCTTCTCGCTTTTTTTGTTTTATGCGGTATCGCTACTCAGATGATATTGTCTAATCGCCTACGTGTGGTAGCGCTTGGCGTGAAACTAGGAACAGCCGTATGTCTTTTCATTCTTCTCTCTACATAGGGATCTTGTCGATGAGTGTTACAGACCGCGGCCCGGGCTAATTGAATCCCGGGCACCCCACGCTTAGGGCCTGGGAAAGCCCGGGGCTGAAGCGGGGGCTGCGGGATCAGCGTGATCGGCGTAAGCGCTGAGCCCGATTGGGGATTCCTTTAGTAATTAGTACTGTCCTGCTCTGCGGCGTAGGAAGGTCCAGCTGGCCCGGTCGGCCGGGTCCGAGGGGGTCCCCGCAGGGGCCGCGAAGGGATCGCAGAGTAGCCCTGAGTTAAAGGGCGAGGTGGTCTGCCCGAAGGTTTACGGGGGCAGGCCTTAATAGAAGTTTTGACTGCGAGACACCTTCCGACAATTCCGTACCCGATTTACTAGTGATACTCTTTCGTGCGTTTTATTCATATCTTATATTCTTGCTATGGATTTACTTTACCTATAATTGCGTAATAGATCTCTCTCTTGTTCTAAGTGGTAGAAAAACCATTTGTAATTAGTATTTAACGCCGTGAGCGGATTTCAAGAAATAACATTCGCATATCTATAACTCTTTTCCCCCTTAAACCGTTGTTTTATAAGTCAAGTGCAAATCTTCTACTACCCTAGATCCGTTGCAGTTAACTAACTAGGCTTTAGTTAGACTTCTACAAACCCACATAGGCGGGGACGCCTAGAGAGGTCTAGGTGTGACACAGAATAGCGGTGAAACGCGTAGGACACAGAAACAACACCGTAAATCCTTTGAATTGCCTTGCACAGACCCTGGCAAAACACAACCACGGGGCGGAACTAGGCTTCGTAGGTGCAATGCGTATGTCCTCCCCGGAACGTGAAAACCGCGGATGTGGGGCCGAGTGTGGGGTTTAAGATTTACAAGCTATTATGCGTAGAGCAGTGAAACGAAAAACGAAATGTGGGGTACGAGTGACAGATAGAGGAGAAGTGGGGTGGGAGTGCGGCAATCAACCTACCACTGCCACACAGCTCATGGATTTAAAACATCAACATCAAGGAACTATAAAAATTTGCGTGCCATCTATTAATTTCCAAAACTTGATTCCGCCCCCAGTAGGTACAAAACCAGACAGTTGGAAAGGCTACGATGACGATCCTCCTACACAACGATGTCCAGTCCGCGGCGAATAGACATGGACATGCGGACTCTCAAGCTACGAGAAGGCGTCCAATCAAGGTCGGGGCCATCTCAGCTTGCCAAAGTGACCGGCTCGATTCGATGTTGCAGATGCTCTCAGGCCCTATCGAGGTCGATGCAATCGTTGGTGACTACCTCGCTGAACTGAACCTTGCCTGGCATGCCATGCAATACGAAGCAGACCCCACTGCCGGTTACGACAAAGGGTTCCTGAAAGCGTTCAAACTAGCATCTTCCAAGATCGGCGAGAGGTTCAGAGCCGGCAAACCCATCAAATTCGCCGTGAACGCCGGTGCTTTGAACCCCATCGCCCTCGCAAAGGACCTGAGGCAGTTCCTCGATAGCGAGCTGGGTGATGAAGGCAAGAAGTTGAAGATCGCGTATATCTCCGGTGACAACATCCTTCCCCAGCTGGAGCGCGATAATGTGCGGGCCGCACTGCAACACTTTACGGAAAAGGAAGCCACTTACGACGCATGGCGCAAGGACAAGACGGAGGTTGTGGCCAATGTGTATATCGGCCAGTGGGGCATTGTGAAAGCGCTGCGGGACGGCGCAGATATTGTCATCACCGGACGATCCACCGACGCGAGCACACTTCAGGCACTTTCCAGTTGGTGGCACGGGTGGGAAGAAACGGACTACGACAAAATCGCATCTGCACTAGTCACGGGACATCTCGTGGAGTGCGGCACTTATGTGGTAATTAGATTCAAATCCCCATCCCCATCCCACAGGTATGCGATGCAGAAGGCTTACATCTTTCTTCTAGACAGGAGGTAACTTCGGCGGATTTAAAGCCATGGGTGATAGCTACATCAATCTCGCGTTCCCTATTGCCGAGATCGCCGCCGATGGCAGCTCGGTGATCACCAAGCAACCAGGCTAGAATGGGATGGTGACCATTGACACTGTCCGAAGCCAGCTGCTCTATGAAATCCAAGGCCGGTATTACTTCAACCCCGACTGCATTGCCGACCTGCGCACCGCCCAACTCAGCCCAGATGGAAAAGACAGAGTCTCCCTCCATGGAGTCAAAGGTCTGCCCCCGCCCGAGACGCTGAAGGCCTCCGTCCAGTCATACGGCGGTTTCCAAGCCGAGGTCAACGCTCTCGCCATCGGCTTGGACGTGGACGAGAAGGCCGAGTCTTGGAAGCGAATGAGCGAGGCCATTCTCCGCTCCAAGGAACGGCTGGAAAAGGGGGAGTACTCCCGCTTTGCCATCCAATGCATTGGGCGAGCACAGCCAAACCCACAGGACCAGAACGCCGCCACGGCGCACGTCCGGGTCATGGCACAGGCTCCGAAGGCGGAGACCCTCTCCGCCGACAACTTCATGAACCCCATCATCGAAAACCTCATCTCTGGCTTCCCCGGGTTCACCCCGGACATGGAGTATCTCCGCACTAGCCTCCCCAAGCCCTACATGACCTACTTCCCGGGCCTGATCTCGAGATACGCACTTGAAGAAGTTGCTGTGCATACCCTAGACGGCGTGGAGCCTACCCTGGTCCCGCATCCCAAGAAGACTCTGTCTCCCGCGCAGGTTCCCAGACAGGAGAACTACGAGCCAGCCGACGCGGTAGATCTGGCTTCCTTCGGAGAAACCATTGAGATCCCGATCGGCTACCAGATCTTCGCCCGGTCCGGCGACAAAGGCGCCAATGTCAACGTGGCGTTCTTCCCGCAATCCGACTCCCGGGAGGAGTGGGACTGGCTGCGGTCGTTCCTGTCGACTGCTAGGTTGATGGAGATGATGGGGCATGATGCCAAGGATGTGGTGAGGTGCGAGCGGGTGGAGTTCCCGAACGTGCATGCGGTACATTTTGTGCTGGTGGGGATCTTGGGCGATGGGGTGAACTGTACGACGCGGCCTGATGCCTTGGGCAAGGGAATGGCGGAGTATCTTAGGGCTAAATACGTCCCGTTCCCGAAGAAGTTGTATCGTGGATACGAGCAGAGAATTTGAATAATGGGTGGAGAGTTGAAAGAGAATGCGTTGTGATTACTCTTTGTTGCGGATTTTATACACTCTATACCACCCAGTCCTTTAACTTTGAAAAGGTGACCCTTTATAATGTTGCAAGAATATGTTGTTTTGCTCATCCGAGCATATATCCGAGCATATCAGAGGAGGCTTATTACATCTCAAGGCTTACATCTTCAAGAGTGCGCCTCGGGTATTTGGACCTAGCTTGGCCCTCCAGACCTTATGCTCATTCAGAATGAACATCTCTCCCTCCGGTCCAAAGCAGAAATTCCCGACCTGTGCATCGGGAAGGTAGATTTTCCCTATCAACACGCCCCCCGGAGACCAAACATGAATCCCATCGCCACATCCGCTATAAACGTTTCCCGCCGTGTCGCACTTGATACCGTCCGGAAAGCCCACGTCTGCCATGGCAAACAAATGCTTGTTCGCGAGGAACGGCGAGCCGTGCCTAAAGATAACATCGTACGCGTATCTGCAGTCCGTCAGCGCAAAAAAACCAAGGTTGGAAGAGAAGTCAGTCCCACCGGGCAAGGAAGAAACTTACATCGTGGCAGGCCGCAACGGGTCATAGGTCCCATCACCGTGGCCCGCGTCTGTGTCTGTGACGTAGACCGTCTTTTCATCCGGCGCGAAGCAGATCCCGTTTGGTCTGCCCAAGCCGTCTGCCACGACTCTAATATCACCCGACCTGGGGTCGAATCGATACACCTGGTTCGGCAGCTCCGGCCTGGGTCGTATGCCGAGTTCGGCGCCGTAGATCGGATCCGTGAACCATATCGACCCGTCGGAGTGGACGACAACGTCGTTTACCGAGTTGAACGGTTTGCCGTGGTAGTTGTCGACGAGGACGGTGGTCTGGTATGGGGCTCTGGGTTCCATGTAGACCAGGGCGCTCTTGACGCTGTGGTCACCCATCACGCAGAAGATAAACCCGTCCCTGTAATTCACCCCCCCGTTGGCCATGGCCATCTCGCGGATCTCGATGTCCTCGGTGTTGAACTTTCCATCTCGTCTCCACGCTCTCGTCATGGATAGACACTTCATGCCATTCTTGATGAAGATGTTGCTTGTGAAGAAGTATTCATCGGTTGACGGTATATAGATGCCAGCCTCATGTGCGAATGGGTAGTCTTGATTTTCAAGGATCACCTCCAGCTCCGGGCTGACGCCTAGGACGTCTAGGAAGGTGTCGTCGTAGATAATGAAACCACCTCCTTGAAGCGATGCCTTGGGGTCGAAGAACGACTTATGGTCCCCGGTGGAGGATGAAGCTGCGTTTTGGAGTCGAGGATACCGCTGAGAAAATGAGGTTAGGTGCACGCAATGACTACGGAGCACGGGTGGAGAGGGAGATAATTACTTGGCAAAGGTCTGGGAGAGACATGGCAGGCTATCGGAACAATGCAGAGCGCTTATAATCCTCGGATATCAAAATAGCATCTGTAGCTAGCCGGGACGCGCGGTATTCAAGGGTGCGCGCAGTGGCGGTTTCGCTGGGAGAGAAAACGGAGAAGATACCTTACTATGTAATCCGTAGAGTGCAGAAGCTCCTAACCAACCAAACCATACTTACGGGCGCCCGCTCCACCTTGAGATTGTGTGGTGGGGTGAAGTTGGAGCCAGCTATCATGTGGGCGTTGGCGGGGCTTACAGTTCAATTACCCCGCAGCCACTAGGGCGCAGCATGTGGGGGCTAGACATGTCAAGAGGTCGGCAGTTCAGGGCCGGCCCATATCTTCATTTGCTTTGTTTGTATTCATCATTTTGTCTTCTTCGGTCCCATTTCCAGATCAGATCTAGATCATGATGTCGCCACTGACCAGCGCTGCCCCTAACGGCAGTCCCCTCAAGCCGATCCAGATCCCAGCCCTCGGCCTCGGCACCTTCGAAGCCGCCGCCGACGATGCCGGCCGCTGTGCTCGTGCCGTCTCGCACGCCCTGCGAACCGGCTATCGACACATCGACACGGCCGCCGCCTACGGGTGCGAGGCAGAGGTCGGCGAGGGGATCCGCGATAGCGGCATCCCGCGGGGAGATATCTTCCTGTGCACGAAGTTCTGGCAGCAGTGGCACGCTCCCGAGGACGTGGCGAGGAGCCTGGATGAGAGCCTCGCCCGCCTGCAGACCAGCTACGTTGATCTGTACCTCATGCACTGGCCGCTGGCGTTTGAGCGCACCGACGACTACGAGATCAGGACTCGTGAGGATGGGAAGCCGGTGGTCAATGAGGAACTGTCGTCGAACCATGAACCAACGTGGCGGGCAATGGAAGAGCTGGTGAGAAGAGGGAAGACAAGAGCGATTGGGGTGTCAAACTTCAACGTCGAGCAATTGAAGAAGCTCTTGAGCTTTGCCAGAATTAAGCCGGTTTGCAACCAGGTGGAGGCCCATCCGTGGCTGCCGCAGAAGGAATTGCTGGAGTTTTGTCGCGAGAACGATATTGCCTTTGTGGCATACTCTCCATTGGGGAGCCAGAGCGGCCCGAAAACGATGCACACTCTGACGGCGCGTTTACTTGAAGACGAGACGGTACGTTTGAGGCCTCGAGATCCTGCAAACAAACTTTCACGGCTGATTTTGAGCACAGGTTGTGGAAGTTGCTCATCGACTGAAGACTGGGCCGGCACAGGTCCTACTGGCTTGGGCAAGTAAGTACACCTCGGGTCGCTACGTTATAATCACCTGCTGACGTGGTACAGTTCAAAGAGGCACCGTGGCAATTCCAAAATCAAGCAATCCGAAGAGAATTGATGACAATCTTAAGGGTGAGTGAGCCTGATTCTTATTCGACGTCTCATACTAAGCAAGTAGCAGTGATCGAGTTGGGGAAGAAAGACTTTGATTTGATTGATCAGATTACAGTTCGGGATCCTTTGAAGCGAAATCGGTTGGTCAATTTTGACACCGTATGGGGTGTGAATTGTTTTGGGGATGAGTAGGCAAGGGTTGGCACAGCACCTCCGAGGGAGTAAATCGGTGAGAATCTAGAGGTGGGAAATATTGGTGTAGCAAAGCCGTTTGGCGGCTACATTGCCACAACCCTATACAAGTGCCAATATTCCTAATACGCATCCGAAAATTTCCATAGGGCACTGCCCATTCTAGATGAGACTACAAGGAAGTCAGTACTACCTTTTTTTGCAGGGTCCTCATCTAGAGAGCCTTTCCCAAACCCATACATCATCCAGAAACAGGGCCCATGTCCGGGTCACTTCTGCGGCGAGCGAGGTGGTTCCCTGGTAAGCGCTGTCCACTTCTTGGAAAAGATTTTGCAGGCTGTTCATTATGGGTCTTTCTTCTCCAGCCGCATTGGCTGCCCGAATCCCAGAACCCAGTCATTCTTCTGAACCACGGATGTTCGCGCATGGCCGCCATGTGGTACCACTGGGTGCTGTGCCTTGGCTGCGACTTTGTAGTCATCCGGCAGGATGGGAAGAGATGGTGGACTTCCTCGATCAGCTGGGCATCGACTGCATTATATTCTTCGGCAAGGCCACATCTGGCACGGTTGGCCAAGCCCTTGCTGCAAAACACCCACCCCGAATGCATTTGCACATTCATTACCTGCTTATCGCCAACCATACTCCCCCTCAAGTCATTGAGATGTTAGCTATTAAGCAAAGTTTATGGCTCAAAGCCGTCATAAAGCTGAGGGTACATGGGTGATATGAGGCTCTTCATTGCTGCCATGATGTCCGCCGCTTCCCTGCCCAAAGACGGTGGGATCGTCGATAAGTACAAGTATCTACTAATAAGAGACCTTGACGCAATCTACTACAACGTAAGCAACTGGCATAATGCCCAAAACTTTCCTGATGTTCGGGATGTAATAGCTCTTTCCGCGGCTGTGATAAAGTTGAGTCTATATGTTATAAGATATCCTGGCCGAAGACAGTCAAGTTCCGGTACGGAGACAAGCGCCCCTCCTGACAGCACTGCTAGGCAGCCCTCAACACGTTTACGACGTACAGCTACGTCTTGTTCCAATGTCAAGTGCGGCTGGACCTTGAGCTGACGGACTAGGAGGAGCTCATTGCTAGCGCGACCTTCCTCCTACGGCCAAAGTACATGCTCGTGTGCAAGACGGTGTACCAACCCCGGTCGTTGTCTACACTGGCGAGAGGCGTTCAACCTTGCGTCGCTGCTCAATCTGTCGTACGTGGCTGGCTTTAGCCTGCCTCTCTCCTCGCCCAGGCTTGCGGCACCTCACATGGCTCTTGCTCAGAACCGATCCAGGTCACCTCTAGCCGGGCCTCGACAAGGAGCCCTTCTTGGACACCCTCCGCCAAATTCAACCCCTCCTCTGAATTCGGCACGGATCTAGCTAGCCAGGGCGTTCTGTCTCGACTTCTGAACTGTATGCTGGAGCCGTTCCGTCTTAGGTGACAGCTTTGAGGCATACACATGGCTGCATATTCCTCGCCACGGAAGCGCAACAGCGTGGCTCCAAGAGCAGAAAAGATGGCAACGCTAGAGCTCGAGGCTGCGTTTCCCACCGCGAAGCTATCCAATTACCAGAACCAAAGATGACCAATCCCGATCCCGCACGGCCAGTGGCGACAGAGATTGTGTATCCTGGTGAACCCGGAGCGAACACGCTGTAGTGGTAAGAGGTCGATTAACACCTGAGGAAATACCCTTCAAACCGTTATTTTCTTCGTGGAAATTCTGCAGTGCTGCAGCCAGCTGTCTGGCTACAGCACATTCGCCTCAGAATGCAGCTCGTGCACCTGCGACCGCTAAGGAATCACCCGCAAGAGAACCAGGCCCTCCTCGACTGCAGAAACTCGGACTTGTGCTCCAGCTCAGATGATGGCTCCCTGAGCCCCAGAACGAGCCTGCATCGCTTCTCGGTCCTCCTGCTTGAGCGCACCTAGAAGATGTGCTGGCTGCGGCTTTGACTGCGCCTTGCGTAATCCCTGCCACGCTCAAGGTCCTCAAGGTTCTCATCGAGGAGCTGCTCTCGGTCTTGGGCGTCCAGACCGCCACTAAGGCCGCTGCTACCGCTGCAACTGAGTTTGCAGACGCTGACGAGGTTGGTGTGGCACTGCAGAGCGTAGAGCCAATCTTGAAGATGAACGTCACCGCCAGGTGACACATCTTGGTGGCTATAGGATGCTATTCTTCTGCAGGCTGGGCTGGTATCATGGGATCTGCCGAGCCTAGTAATTGTCGGGGCCACGTCCGAAGGGAACATCTAGTAGAAGACTTAAAAATCCTCAAAGGTCGAGCACATGGTTTCTTAAATCATGAGGTGCTACTGGTCACGCTGCTTAAACAGTGAAAGCTGGTTGGCAAAAGCGTCACCCGGCAGATGACTCTAGCACTGGGATTGCAGTTTCACTATCTAGGTCTGGGGTAGGTTGGCCGGATAGCACTCGTAGATCCAGCGTCAAGCCTTTGAGGTGAAGACTAGTTAATAGATAGACCGAGGGCGACCACATTGCCTTGCTTGTAAGTGTAGCACCCGTATCACACATGCCCCTCAGCACCTGGTAGTCCACGGCCGTAGGGGTTCAAGCCGGAAGGGTGAGGGACTGCGTGCAAAGCGTACGAATGCGGTGGCAAGACGTTGGGAGACGACATGCCAGACGGGGCAGCCGACTGGATAGCCTTGGGAGCGGGAGGCGGTTAGTCCTATTCCGCAATGCCGCGCGTCCCAGCTCTAGCCAGGCAGGAAGACTGTCGTGTAACTGAGGCTGATTGGATGTAGCCCAGTATTACAAGGACTCCAGCAAGGAATGGTAATGCATCACGCAAAAAATGCGAAGAGACTGGTAGTAAATGCCCGCCCCGACGTTTTGAAGTCCCGCCGTGCGCTTAGCAGGGCTGCTGGCTCGACGTTCATGCAGATTTGCGTTGCCGGCATTAGGTTCTGAGGGTAAGGCTGGATGTTATATCTTGCGGATCTCTAACCCGAGCAGTACAAGGAGCTTACGTCCAGGCAGTCATGCGGCAGAGATGGCGATGGCAGGGCGCGGAGCGCGGAAGGCTGGGGACCACCTGCCTGTGGCGCGTAGGAGTAGGAGGCCCGCGCCGAGGGCGAGGCCAAGGGAAAGGGGGGATGGATGGATGGATGATGGGATGTCAAAATGGGCCCCGCATCGACAGGGGAACATTCAATCCCCCGTCATCCAAGCCACCCTCCTCCATCAACAGCCTATCCAAGCCTACTCGCCAATGTTTACGCTTCCACCAGAGAGCCGAAAGAATGCGCACCCTAGACACAAGGTATGTTCCAAGACCTTAGATCATGAAAAGCGCTGATAATAATAAATAACTGAGTATGCCTGTGTAGGTGGGCAATACGGACCTGCAGAAGCATGCAAAGTAGGTAACACAAGCTGTCATCAACCAACAAAAACGCAACCACCTCGCGGCCCGCACTGGGTGGACGCATGGTGGTCAAGCCTGATGCACTACCTGTACCTCGACAAGTCCAAGACCATGTCCCGGGGGCGGGCTGGCTCCTCCGGCAGGGCCGCAGGTTCAACCTAGCCGTGGCACTGGAGACGTGAACGCCGTCATGCCATTCTTAGCCACCAGCACGCCCATCCGTACAGGCGTCTTGTTCTCCCGCCGCGGGCCCGGCATTGGTAGCCCCGCCGTCACCTGGGTGAACCGCCGCGGCTCGTGGCGTGGTGGGAGCATGCTCCAGCCGTACTTGACGTTGCGGTTGGAGAAGGTGCAGGGTCGACGTCGATGGAGTTTGTTGTGAGAGGGCCAGAAGGAAGGAGGAGGGTTGCTAGAGCTGCTGCCAGCAGCAAGCTGTGCAGCCATGGGGCTGTTTGCGATTCGGCGGACTAGAGCATGTAAGACGCATGCCAAGATGGGCAAGATGCGCCGTTAGCATAAGCCGGAGGTTTGCCGGCACTGTGCGCGCGACCTCAAGAGCGCAGCTACGGCCGGCCCCCGACGAGGCCCCCATACTGCGCAAAGAGGTTATCGTGGCTTGGGTCTGCCCTCTCACTGACATAGGTTAGGCCTTTGCTTCTTTATGATCTCGACGAGATACTTGTGCGCGTTGTGGGTGCTCCTGTGGGAGGTCGCGCCCGTCCGCCTTTTCACTGGCACCGTACCTTACCTGACTCGGCCGGGCGGGGATGGCTGGGACCACACTGTCGTAAAGTTGGGGTTGTGATGCTTGTCTAGGGGAGAGAAGCTCCTAACTAAATGACTACTAATAGTAGCAGCTATACAAACAAAACAATAGCCGCCGGACCACGGCCTCTTTGACTACAGATACGTCCCTGCAACACACGGCCATGAGAGTGCTGCTAGTCGCCAACGCAACCATTTTCCTGTAGGTTTTAGGCACATGATTCGCATAATGCAGACTGGACGCCACACCGGGAAGCTCGTGGCAGTGCCACGGCTGGATCATGTCGTTAAGGCTATGCTGAGGAGAGACAACCACAGGTTCATGTGCCCGATGCATCGTACGTGCTGGATAGAGTTTACAGCAGTAACTTATCAGGTTCACAGCGTGACCAATCAGCAAGAGGCATCAAGTTTAAGGTCAAGTTTAAGTTTGCGCATCCCATGACATTGGAATTGAGAGTTTAAGGTTACCAAGATTTAACTAGCAGAAGGTATTATACTAGACTGTGTATGAGGCAAGGTGCACGAATCCGCTAGTCTCCGCGTTAGCAATGATAGAGACCCGGCATCCCGCAGATAAATACGGTTATGGTGGATGTAGGCGTCCTTGAACAAGGCCGCGTCTCAGCCCGCCGGTACCGCGAGGGTTGTGGCTGTTGAGCCGACGACGGCGGCGTCGCTGAGGCCCGGCGAGTCGTCGCGGCCCCGACCCGGAGTTCCTCGAGTTCACCAAGGAGATTCTCAAGGTTATCCCCGCAAAGGTCTTGACCAAGGTCAATCCCCGCGAAAAGGAGCCACAAAAAGTAGATTATTCCAATGTCAAAACTATCTAAGGGAGGAACTCGCAAAACGCAGCACAAAGCTAGATTGTTTCATCCAGTCAACCGTGAAGATGCTAGCCAAATCAGAACTTGGAGTCGGGTCGATCCGGATGGTAAGTTGACGTTGGCAAGGAATTGCTGTTGCAGTTTACCCCCTTCCGGGAAACCGCAGTGAGCAAAGTCGAGTCTGTAGGACAGCGTTTCACGTTGGTACGACGTGGTTGCGGGATCATCTATTACGGAGGAACAGTGGCTAACACTGTGGTTGGGGTATCTTAGAGACAGATGTAAGGTTTCTTTTATGTGGAACAAGATTCGATTATATGCCTTACACATGCCCAATAGCTAGTACAAGCCCAGTGTCGCAGGTACTGCAACGTCGATACGATCTGGTAGATACCCATGACATCGCTAGTAGATCCGAATGTGATCTTTGTATATAGGTTCTAGTGAGGGAAAGTCAGCGTCTTGGTTGCGACGATACGACAAGCGGCCAGAAAAGTCTGGGAAATGGACTTACCGTGCGGCCGCTCTCCCACGTAGTCACCACCAAATTCCAGTCATGTCCCTGGATGATGATGCCCGGAAGGAAAGCGGGCAGGGGATTTCCCTTCCGGCTCGCCAGCCGATGCAGCAACTGCCACTGCGACGCATGCCATACGCCCATCTGCAGGGTCGCGCTGTCCCAGCCCTCGCCAGTCTTCTTGGTCTCGATGCTGAGAGCGATCAGACGATTGCGCAGTGGGAGGAAGTCGGTGTGGTTGATGCTCTGATCCGGCAGGGAAGTTCGGAGCTTAGCTATGATTGTCGCAATGTTGGTCTGGGGGGTTGCGGTAATGGCAGCAGCTGTGGCTGCGTCTGATCCAGTTGTAGTCGTGGCGGCAGCGTCTTGGGGCTCAAATTTGGGGTCAAAGTAGAGACAAAAATCAATCTGCTTGAAGGGCGAGGTGGGTGGCAAGTAATTGCCAATAATCTTCGCGGTTGTGCTACAAATGGCAAAGCAAATAGTTAGCAAGACAAGTACAAAGGAAGGACATGATGGCAAACAGACAGAAGCTCACCATGGCATGAAGTATAAGAAGTCGGTAAACTCAGGCACGCCGTTTGACCTTAACGCTGTACACAGTATTTCGTAATGCACCATCATGTTCCATGTGGCTTCAGGATGATAGTTGACTTGGCACTCGAGGGCTCGAGACAAGACACGCAGGACGGAATCTGGGGTCGGAGCGGGGCCGACGTTGTCCCGGGCGGGCGAGAAGCAAGTATCATCCTCACATATTTCGGCGAAGTAGGAGGCCTGTTTGTGGGTCGCAAGCTCTGTCTGTGTAGCATAGGACAGGTCAGTTCAGGTCAAAGTTGGAAAGGCGGGAGGGACTTGGTGACCAACCTTGTATGATTGGGGCAAGATGCCGCGTCCTCGCGCAAAGCGACGGACCTGGGCCAACAGCTCGTTCAATTCGGCCGGGAGAGCCGATGACGAGAACCCGAGCTGCCTGATGCCGTTGTCGACCAATTCTAGCGAAGCCATATGTTTCTGGGGTGAAGACCTGCCAGAACGAGAGCTGCGATGGCTCGTACTCTGGCTGGCCGAGGACTCAGAGCGTGTGAATGCGGGTGGGGGAGAGGCGAAGGTGTTGCGTTGCCGCCGTGGCTTCGGGGTCGGGCCGTCTGCGTCCAAGTCGTCGCCATCGTCTGCCAACTGATCCACCCGCAATCGCTTGGCACGAGGTGTTGTTGCCTGGTCCGGAGAGTTCTGCATTGAGTTGACGGACAAGGGCAAGTCCGGCGGTGTGAGAGGGTCGCGCCTGCGCTTTCGAGTAACAGTCACGGGTTTGACGCGGTTGGGTTCAACCGGTATTTCTCTAGCGCAGAGACTATCGTTGGGAATATCGCACAGCCAGGCAGATATGTCAACGGGCATTTCGGATGCGACCTGATATAAAGAACATGGTAGAGAAAGTGTTGCGCCGGCGAGAATTGACGTCAATTGTAACGCGACAAGAGCGAAATTGTTTATCGCACTTTGTTTTCCTTCTTGGTCTGTTGTGCAATTGTAATTGGCCAGCCGTTGCCGTAGGCACCACTAGGCGCCTCAGCTATCCGCCTTACCCCGCACTTCTAGGCTATGCATCCCTAACCAGTTAGGATGTCAAATTTACTATTGTGCAACACATTCGGAAGTAAAAACAAGGACATGAAGTATGAGAAGACAGGGCGAAGTTATTTTACTATTCTCATATCATTATCTTCGCTCCAGTTGCCTTAGTGGCTTGCAGTGCTTCTTTTAGTATTAACATCACGTGGGATAACCCGTGCGCTAGCTAGATTAAACCCCGTGCATAAGTGGACACAATTGGTGGGTCTCCATTTGCCCCGCAATTTTTGAAGGATTGGGACCTAGGCGCACGGTCGACCCGATTAGCAAGGACAGGACGGTGTTGCAGCAGACGTGGGAAATAATCTAGCGGGTGATGGAGAGGGATGGTGGGTGGGGTGGCTGTGAAGCAGAGAGGACGGGTGGTGTAGTTTGAAATCAACAAGGAGGTGGATGTTGGACAGAAGAAGCTTGATGGCGGATGGAGGAGGATACGTCGGCGGATTACAGGAAGTTCTACCATAAGTCGTTGTGTATTTACACGTAGGTTGACTAACTCATTGACACTCCTACCTACAGCTGGTGCAGAGGCATGTATGAGTTAATTAGTCGACACTCGCTTAGTCGTCATCGAACAATCGTGCACCCTGAGACGATACGTCCGGCATCAGCTTCGTCTCAACCTCCATGTCAGCCACTTCTTGCTTAAGTTGCTTGGTAAACCCAATCCGCTGGCTCCCTCCAGTTATAGACCCATGAGTAGAGAGGAAGCCCCATAGCGTTCTAGCGTAGACTATGGCCGACTGCACCGACACGCCCATTGATCTAGCTGGCCTACTGCTTGGTCGGGCCTCCAGGTAAATACTTATCAACGCCCTCTGTCGAGACCTGCGAATTGTAAGAACGCAGCAGTAATAGGGACTTCAAAGGTTGCCGATTTTAGTGGTATAATCTGCTAGTTGCCTAGGTTCGTGGTTGTTGAAATATGGCTGAGTGACGGGGTAGGTTGAAAGTGCCAACTTTGACGTAAAGTTTGGTACAGACGTAGCGCATGTAACAGTACCTTGTAGGGTCTCTTAAATACGTTGATTCCAACGCAATAATCTGCTGGCTTGCCAGACCAACGGTTGTCGAGATATAGCCAAGTGGCTGATAAAGGGGGTAAGTGCTGGGTCACTTCCTTATTTCAACGCAACCCCCTAGAAAATAACACGTGACTAGTGTCTCAGAGGGACTCTCAAATACGCCAATTCTCATTGTATAACCTGCTAGTTGCCTAGGCTAGTGGTCGTGGAAATATAGCCACATAGCTGTTAAAAGGGGCAAGTGCTGGGCCACTCACCTATTCCAAACTCAACCCCCTGGAAAGTAGGACGTAGCTAGTACCTCGGACGGAATTTTTAATACGCTGATCCCAACGAAATAGCTTGCTAGCTTGTTAGACTAACGGTTGTAGAGATATAGCCAAGTGGCTAACGCAAAAAGTAAGCTACCATCACACTCACTTCTTTCAAACTCAGCCCACTGTAAAGTAACACGTAGCTAGTATCTCTGGTGTTCGCTTTGTGCGGCGGGTGGGACTGAGTCTGTACGGTGCTGTTTCCTGGCTGGCTGGCGACATGCGTTATCCTTATTGACGGCGGTGCCTGCTTCTTCAGCGCCGAACGGCGCGGTGCTGGTGCCGATCAACTCCGGTTCCTGGTCTTGCTTTCGTGCACGCAACCCAGCTTCAGCTCGCACAAGAACCAGTTCTCCAAGTTGCTGACTCTCCATCGGCTTCTAGACTCGCTTCAGCCAGTCATATTCGCCGTCACTAGTCACGTTGTGGTCGCGTAGAGCTTGCGTTAAATGGCCCTGCGCGTAGTCGTAGTCCAGGGGTTCCTTGAAGGAAAGGTTGTGCATGTATGTTGCAGTGACGCGGAACGGTCGCAAGTTCTTTGATTACAGTAGCCTGCGTCTTCGCACTGATCCTTTCGTATTTCTCGCTGACTGTAGCTCCCTCCAATTCCTGCCATGGCAAGCCACCTCGGAGGGAGTACATCAAGGCATGGCCCAGAGCCTATAACCACACCCGAATTCGATGACCACTGGAATCTGGTTCGGCAGCTCAACGCCATTGTAAACAACGCCAAATGAGCCCTGTCTATTCTTCTCGCCTACTCTGCACGATATCAATACTTTCTTTCCATTTTTTCAGCCTCTCACAAGATTGTGTTGCTGCTTGATGTTCTTCACTCCTGTGGTTAATGGGTCTAGGCGGTTGGCAAGGTCCACACGTTGGTCCTCGGCTTGGCTGAGTATGTGGGTCTTCTGTTTCTTTGCCAACGCTGTGAATCGTCCCACCGGTCCTTCATGTTGTCCATCTCTTCCCGATCGCCATTCTCGAGAAACTTTTTCAAGGCCCTCTTTCCTACACGCTAGATATCCTCCAGGTGTGGTTTGCTACATGTGTTTGGTCCCGTCTCCTCCGCTCTTGGACACTAGGACTTTGCTGCCTTTGCTAGAGGCTGCAATCTTTGTAGGCCATGTCAGTCTTATACTAAAGTACAGCAAAGTAACGCTGTCCTCACTCTGCCCCTCATGGTTCTTGTCGTCATCATTTGCCACATGGCTGTCTTGAATTGGGTAATCATCTTGGCTTTGCAGAGGCTGCAGATAAGGGTTCGCCACTCTGAGACGAAATTTTTCAATCCGTCGAAGAATGACAGGGTGTAGCGCGACTAGTGCTTGGTTCTCTTGGGGAATCGATACTTTGTCCGTCTTGGTACGGTCGTTCCTCTGACTCCTGACTTGATCGACCGGCAGCACCTTTGCGTCCCTCCTCGCCGCCCAGAGACATCGAAAATAGGTTGTCTGCCGATGAGGCTAGCTGGTGCCATTGCCGTTGCTGTATCGCACAAGGGAGCTTGTCGAGGCGTTTGCGCCAGTTAGCAATGTCGTCAATCGGGTTCTGAATGGCCTTCATTGTAAGACACTTCGACTTGACGGACACAGCATTTGGGCGACCGATCGTTCACCTCTCGTGCCGCTCAACCTTGCCAAAGATCAAACTATCTGTGCCATACCACGCCCGGAATTGTCTCTAGCTTACTGCGGATGCTGCTGAGAAGTAGAGGACCAAGCTCGACCGGATGGCGTTCTTGAAAATGCTTAGCTACCCTGTGTGCAGAGGAACTCTGAGGAGACTCAGAGACGCGGATACAGACAAGCCATTGACACTAATCTCGTTTCCAGATTTGCGGGACTTATGAGGCAAAGAGGTCCACAGAAACCTAGGTAAAGAGAAGGAAGGCGTAAGGGGCAGAGAACGCGCGGTTAGTCTTAAACTTACAAGGTTGTTGCTAGCGTCGGGTGGAAACAAACGGATGAGAGCGGTGGGGCTGCACCATGGGCCATTGAGACGCACAAGACAGCTCGCGCCAACATTCCCCGCTGGGCTTGCCGCTGGGTGTCACGCAGGGCCTCATGACAATCTGGCAATTGCGGACATGGGCACTTGGTTTCGAACGGACAGGCAGTGGGGGCCTAACGCCTTTATGCAGTCGTTTCCCACGTAGCCTTATGTCGGCCACACACCACCGCCTGAGTGATTGCCTACATATATGTATGGTGCTGCTAGATATGGAGTGCCGCACTACCTTGTCAAGCTGCATTATTGCCAAATTCCCAAGACAAGGACAGTCCGGAAGGGAGATTGGGAAGAGATGAGAGCGACGAGGTGAAGCTGGGAAGAAGCGGGGACCGCGGTCTCTTAACCCGCTGAATGGAGAAGCAGTGGATTGCGGCTTTGGGGGTGGGTTACGACGGTGGTCCTGGTGAAAGGAGGCATGAGCGAAGAACATGCGTTACATATCTTCATCCACAGCAATGCTGGCCTGTTGGTCCATCGACAGCCACCGCATAAAGTTGACTGATAGTACGGCAGCTATAGTTTATACTTCACTGGTTGAAAGATCCATACACTGCCTGCTGCCAAACGGAACGTCTGCCAAACGGCTGCACCTCAAAATCAGCTGACCCCTCCGCGTCCCCAGGTTAGGGACATGTCTGACGACGAAGCCGATCCGGAGTTTCTGGTCCTCCTCCGCTAGCACCTCCAGGGCAAGCTCACGCTTGTCGGCGACGCCGAGCCTGAGATTCTGCATCCTGCGCGGCGCTAAGCACGTCCAATGGGCAGCACCCCCGAATTGACCCCCATAGCCCTTCCCACGATCTAGCCGCATACTCCTAGGAAGCTCTCAAACTTACTACGATGCCAAATATCCAGGCAACCTTTCTAAGATGGCGGTTATGTGAGATATCTCCGCGTATTTCCGCCTACGTATAATTGTTGATAGAGTTAGTAACGAGTTAAGTAGTGTCGAATATGCTGTAAAAGTGGGAGCCTCTTACTATCAGGTAAATTATCACAGTTTATATCTGACAAGTAGTGTCGAACAAGTAGGCTTGGGGCATCAGCGATGTGGGGTCTCGACGCGTGACCATGTGACAAAAACAAATGCTTAGGTAAAGTTGCGATTTGGTCCAGTCGCCTCAAAATTACGTCGTATCAATCTCGCCTGCAATAAAGAATAACGTCCCGCTGCAACAGTATTCATAACATCTCTAAGCTCCAACGCGTGTCGCGCTTGGATTCCTCCATGCACTTTCACCCAGACATGGATCTCTCAGACCTTGAACCAGCCATTGCCGCGCCATCGCAGGAGACGCCCGAAATTTCAACGACGTATTGTGACCCCAGCGCAGCAGACCGGATCCTCCACTGGATCAAAACTGGCGACCATGTCATCACCAAAGATGCAACCAGCAAGCAGAAGCACGGCGCTGGGAGCTTCAGCATAGCGTCTGGCTGGCCAGATAACTATGGTTGCTGCTCAACGAGTTCACCTCCATCCTCGACACTTCGGCTTGTCGGACGCGACGACGACCTTCTCATCCCCACCGCTGAAGCCATCACCCACACCTACCACGCTGCGCAACACACCTGGTGCTCATTTGTCGCTCGCGCCCAAGCCATTCCACTGAACTGTGTGCCCCGCGAAGCCACCGATCCGACCATCATGCTGAAAAACGTCCCTGCCCTCCCTGATGAGCTTCCGGTGTCGTGGGACGGCTTGGAAGGCGTGGCTATCTGGAGGAGAGAAACGGGGGAGGAAGAGGAGGGTATTCGTCCGATTGAAGGCACCAATTGTGGAACCGAGGACCCCAGTATGGCGAGGTCATTTGGCTTTCTGGCGATGGAACCTCTCGCTTGTCGCTTTTCCTGTTCTACAGGTTGCGTCGCGTCGAACACTCCCAGAGGCCTTGGGATTCTCACCCTCTGCTGGTCATACATTTTATCGATGCGACTCCTGGAACTGCAGAAGCGAAAGCCGACATATTCCAAGGCTTGCCTCAAGCCCATCGCGTCTGCGACATATGTTCACAGCCCTCGCGATGTGGTTCTCGATCTAAGCGCCCCAGCATCCCCCCGACTGGTCCGGTGGCTCTGCGCCGTCTTATCCCCGGGGCCTGGTTGGTCTGTCCACGGTCCCCTGCCGCAATGGGCGACGCGCGTCGCTGGGGACGTCCGTTTCGTCATCGTGAGCAAAAACCGAGTCCTGTACAACCCAGAAGAACGCCCGCCGACTTCAACGCAGGCTACAGAGCTTCTCGTCGAGCTGTGTTACTTGGTCGGACTGGGTGCAATAGCCTGTTTGGATCAACCCTCCGACTTCGGGCCACGAGCACCTTACACCGCCGCCTTCCTAGCCGCCCTCGCGGTGCCCCTTTATCGGACACACGAACTGGAACCCCAACTGGCAGTTGTGTCGCTTGAGCGGTGTAACAAGCCAATGATCCGGGCAGACTCCACGCGGATTCGCCAATATGTCGCCGATCTCAAATATTACATGACCCTCAGCGCAGATGACCACGGTTCACACTCAATGCTGTGGAGCATGTTCTGGCAACCAACTATTCCATGCAATCTAGTAGGCCCATGGCTCGGAGGCACCCTTGATGCCCTACGGCCACTGATTTCTGAGCGAAATGTCTCGGCACTGACAAACGCATTTGCGCTGCGCCGCCCTCGTGTGGCCATGTGGTGGCTCGGCGTGCTTCTTCTCGGCAGCCCCACTGTTTGGGATGAGATAGTCATCTGGCTGGAAACTGCCGAAGGGCGATTTGGCGGCCGCGGTCTTGCGGCTATCTCATGGCCGGATATCGACTTTTCGGCTTGGACGGGCTCACCAAACTCATTATTCGACGAGGATATGACCGCCAGCTATCCGAATGAGACCGATCTCGTGCCTCGCGTCGATGTCCTACGCTGCCGGTTCAACCTGCTCCTCCAAAATGAGGAGTGGAACACAAGCCTCTGCTGGCGACCCTTTGGCTGTGTCCGGAAGTCGGAGGTCGAGGTGGACCTCTGGCCATCGCTGGAGCGTGGGTCTAGACGAGAATACTCGCATTGGATTTGGTGGGTCAACAAGGAGCCTAATGTTCAGCGCGGGTTCAGGCAGGATACTGGGAGGTTTGTTGATGCCAGCGATGATCTGCAGGTCATCGAGCCTCAGGATTCTAGGGATTGTGAGGTCGATGCCCCCAAACAACCGTCCATCGTTGCAGTCGGCAAGATGTTGAATCTGTTCGTGCATGATGTGACCGGAGGGGTAGCAGAATGTACTGCTGCTCTACCTGGTTTTGAGAAGCATAAGTGGCAGAAGCACTGGAACATTGTGCCTAGCCAGTGGTAATACTGAATAATGAGGACCTATCTGAAGTGGCAGGAATCCTTAAGCATCCAGGAAAGTTGTTGAGAGGTTGGACAAGAGTGTCGGCCTGTCCTTGGGAGCCAAATTCTAGTGCGAACAATGTCCTTCCTGGACAGATGAAACGCGGAAATGGTGAGCGTGAAGTTCTTGCAGTGCCGGCGAGCCTTTGAGACCCATCCTATATGTCGCCTTTGAGACCCATCCTATATGTCTCCCGTGGCTTGTGCCTCTCCCTCTTGTCGAAATGAGAGGATGAGACGTCAAAATCGTCCTCACATCCCTGGAAACCGCATTGGATCACTTGCAAAGAAGGTTGTAACATACCGCAAGCCACGAACCCGCAAGCAAACGACCGATGTTTAGTAACAGTTTTCATTAATCGCGGAACTCAAAGACGGCTTCCTTCACGGCGGGCCGGGATGCTCCCCCGAGTGGGTGGCCCTGAGTGCCTCCCCCAAATTGCTTGAAGAACTCTCGATGACAATATCCAAGATGCGTCCAAGGCACGGCCCAAGGCATGGCCTTACTGTGGAGTTACGCGGTGTCGACAGATGCAAGAATTTGCTTGAAGCCTGCTTGGCGAGCTGACATTGACGAGCGACACCTCTTTCTGGACGAGATCCCCTCCGCCATATCTATTCCCGCCACGGTGGCGACCCACTGGAGAATCTAAAGAATGGCGTTGCGTGGGGAGCAATAACAAACTGGCTGCCAGAGCCGTTTACCCGCTGCGCCAGCCGCTTCGAGGTATTGTTCCCGGATTTCCCTGACAGCGCCGCCTCAAGCCACATGATCCTTCTCATCAACGCCAGTGTCGACGTTGGATCCACTTGCCGTGGCGGCCTTCATTTGCGCAAACCACCCTTTGACATGCGGGGACCTGAACGCGGTGGACACGCGGGATAAGGTGGTTCAGGAGGTGAAGCTCGTGCGACGCCATCATCCGCGATGCCGATGAAGTCTAGAGCGTCACTGTCTTGTAGACGACCTGCAGGATTGGGCGCGGGCAGGTTGGCCAAAGGGAGGATTGAGCTGCGACGGCGTCCAAGACCGTTGTGCTGGGGTATGGAGGCTATGAATCGCGGCTTTGAATCGCCGCCGCTAAAGTGCATCAGCGTCAGCAGCCTTTCCTGGAATCACTTAACGTTACGCTCGTACCGATGCAAATCTTATGCCGCATCCTTGTGCAATTGAAATATCAACCCCGTCTAATGAGTACAAATTTTGCTGCTCTCGATTAGACAAGCAGCAGCTGCAGTCCCACAATGCCCCAAAGCAACCCAATCTACCGGTTTGAGCCTGCAATAGGCTTTTGGGTCCCCATCGTATCGGGAATCTGGATACCTGACACATCGAAGTAGAGGATTTTTACTGCGTAGGATCTGTTCCACGGTAGGAAACTTTGGAAGTGAGGCGTCAAACGTAACTCTGAAATGCCCCCCAAAATATTTGAAAAGGGATGTCCCAGTTGTAGAAGCCCTCAGCCCATAAACAGGTTGGACATGGGATGCCTGATTGACGAGGGGAAAAAGGTGTATGATAGTCGTGAGAAAGTATATCGCAATGATGCAATGGGCAATGGCGACGAAATTCCAAAGCTAGCGAAGGGTAAAACTTCGTTGGCTTTTCCTCGATAAATATCCATAACTCCTGTAGCCGAGGGAAGTTCCGAAATAGCGATGTCATAAAACAGGTAGGCCCTGGCTGAATGGCAACTCTCTCTAACTGGTATAGATGATGTTCGCGCGGAAATTTCCGTGTAGGCTAGTCGTTATCGCCTCCAATGAAGAAGACGTCGTGGACGAAGCTAACATCAAGTTGCTCCTTGCCGTTCTGAACTTCAAGTTTGTCGTGATTTTGTTTCAAGTAGATCATACGACTCTCGAGACATATGGAGTAATGGGTGCACTCTCGTGCATGTGGTAACGGCACTGCCCTTCACGCGGATATCGATAACTCTGGGAGCAGTTGCTGCCAAGTCCCAGATCTCCAGACGAAGATCGAACGGTAATCGGAGAAACGGCGAGAATACAGCCATAGCCAAAGAGGTGGAGTTGCCAGGGGAAAATGAGGAAGATTGGGAAATGAGGGAAGATCGAAAAACTGTAAGAAGTGTGGGGGACCTCTTCTTTTAAATAGGTCGAACGATCCAGTCAGTCTTTAGGAGCAATCCATCTAGCATGAACGAGTCGAGAGGCCTCAATGCCTGTAGCAGTGGCGATCTCCCAAAGCCACAAACAGCCACCCTTACCAGACGCATTCCATACCAAAACCTTGGACTAGCTGGGCAGAAGCGCTTGCTTTCCAGTAAGACAGCCGCTGAGATTATGCCTACAAGGGCTGGTTCTAGGAACACACATTGCGAACCTTCCTGCAAGACACAGCCTAGTGTAAGCCAATTTAGAAGTGGCTGTATTGCCGCAAGGCACATCCAAAGTCAGGGGTGGCGGGAGAATGAAACTCTATCTCATCAAATGCTACCGGCTATCCTCACAATCACAGCAAGAAGCACCAAACCTATACCTTTCTCAATATCAACAACCATGCGAAGCTTTTCCATGACCACAGGAAATTGTTTGCAGTCTAAAGCCCCAGGTTCTTTCGCTTTCCCCCAAGCAGAGCCCTCAAATAGCTTAGCCACAGTTCCTTCCCTGGTAGAAGCCCCAGATGCAGCAGTAGAAAAACCATCTGTCCGTTCTATAGATAATGAAACCTTCCATCGTCAGCACCCAGACATGAACCAAGGGATGAGTAGGACATACCAGTTCTATGGAATTGCTATCCTGCAATCTCGGTCCAGACAGTGTTCCAAGTCACATAGCAATGCTCTCTGTATGCAGGAAATAACCTAGCTCCTTCCCTTCTTTTCACATCCCGGTCCCGCAGGCGGTCCCGCAAGAGGCCTCCTATGCATGCTATAAGCCTAATCACACTCTACATCAAAGACATGTAGGCGGCAGATGTAGAGACATCCCAGGGGATCTAGGGAATGGGTTGTCGGCGTACCCGATCCCGTCCCCCCCTGGGGATCCCAACCGAGCCAGAGACGTCGATTTCTCATCTCAGCAACGATATCAAAGATGTCACATCCCACCACCCCCCGCCCGAGATGTCATACTTGTCCGACGATCGGCATGATCCTATTGAAAGCCAGCGATGGCCCCGCAGGCCAAATACCCGCGTCCGATAGTGGAGGGCAGGCGGCCAAACTTGGCGGGAACAATGGGCTACCCCCGGTTTGGTGGTACAAAGCTGGAAATATTCCTTCGGGACCTCCGACGGTTCAGGGGCGGTGGTGCCGGAGGGGGGAGCCAGGAGGCCGCTAGCCCGTTCGAGACGAGTCGTGGTTGTGGCTGGGCAGTTCCACCACCACAAGTCAACCCCGCCGTTATCCTAGTCGTGGTCTAAGGGGGGGGGGGGGGGGGGGGGGGGGGGGGGCAAGATCAAAAACCGGCCCACGGGGGGGGGGGGGGGGGGGGGGGGTGGAGGCGGGGGGCGAGGCGGTTGGGTATTTTTTT